TGGAGGAAACTCACTCTATTTATACTTTTTCCAGTTCATTGTCTCCCAAATAACGGTTTTCCTAATCCCCTTAGCAAGTTCTTAAAGAACCCTATGTGCTGGGGCTTTAAGACCTCAATCAAAGACCTGGCCTGGTGCCAGCGCTGATAACTTAGTCCAGGGAAGGTTTATGGCCTCTCTGGAAGCAGGGTAGTCTTATTTTCCCTATTATTTAAGCAAGCAAGCATTTACAGGAGCAAAATAGTAGAGTTAAAATTTCAAACAGCAGTTTTTATATAAGATGGATGCTTAACCACCTCATGTGGCTCTTCAGTGTAGTGCCAACAGAGCTACCTGGAAGGCTTGGCAGAGTCATAGGATCAAGTTGGTTCCACTCTGGACCCAGTGCATCAAAAGCTCACTACTTCACCGTTGTGAGGTCCCTAGGTGATCCAGATGTTTGGCCAGTTTTGGAAACCACTGTTCAAGGAAAAACAACCATCTTAGCAGCTCTCTGGCGGTCTTTTACCTCCACAAGGAGAACCAGAAGCAGTGGGGTCCGGGCTTCTCCATCCGTGTAGCTCTTCAGAAGGTGAAGAGGGTCTTGCTTAACTCTATGGTGTCAGATGCCAAATAATCTCCTTCAGCTGCTCATGTCCCACCAGTAAAACAAAACTGCTGACCCAAATCCTTCCCTCTGCATTTCCTGGTCTGACTGCCTCCTGGCTTCAGGCAATGGGCCTGGGTCTGGAACATCTCTGCTGAGTGTCAGAGAAGGTGAGGCACCGCACAGGTGAAGCCTGAGTGGGGAATTGTGCACATGAATTTGGGATCTTTGTGCATCTGTGAGTATGTGAGTTTCTGTACATAAACCAGGAGACCCAGTGCTTGAAATTCCCAGCATCCTGCTGTTGACAGCCTCAGCCCCTACCTCCCCATACCCCACCTCCAACCTATATCCAGGTGCCTTACTCTACACATCCCTCACTGAGGAGCATTGGCCTGGGGTGGTGTCGGGACTCTGGGTGAGGTATGTGC